TATTTGTTGATTTTATAATATTAATATTCTAATTTAATTTGATTGAATATTAAAATATTTTTTATATTCAAATTTAATTCGATTTATTTATGTTTAAATTAATTTAAAATTAATAAAATATTCTTTTTAAATATAAATATAAAATTAAACGAAATATTAAAAATATAAATATAAAATTAAATAAATAATAAAAAATTATATATATATATATCTCGAATTTAATTGGGTTTACATAAATTTCAACCCAAATTTTATTTTAAAAATATCCATTTTATCCTAAATTTAATTTTTAAAAATTTGATTTTATATAATCAGATGGAATCAAAATCTTACGGATGCGAATTAAATTAACAACCCTAATCATTGTTAGTCAGTGAAACAGCCTCTAAACCATCCATGTCTCCTCTTCCTCATATTCTGCACATATGTTGTTAATCTGAGTATCACTCAATGAAACCCTTTTTCTCCACATCAGATAAAGTCACTGAAAGTAGGAGTCTTTCTTCTTTCCTCTATAACCAACAAGGCTCAGGAACTTTTCCTTCCAAAGCACCAATGGGTCTGAACCTTCATAGGCTTCAGTCAAGAAGACACTATAAGGCTGGTAATAGAAAAAAAATTTATTTTTTATTTTCATTTTCAAAAAACAATTTTCATTTTTTATTTTTTGAACTTTAGAAAACATATTTGATACTCAAAAATGAAAAATTATTTTCAAAAATAAAAATTATAAAATATGTTTGATATATGTATTTTTAAAACAATAAATAATAATTAAATAATTAAAGCAAAATGCATATTAAAATTGTAAGCTCGTAATTTACAAGTACACAAAGGCTCTGCATATTGAAGCCTTTATTGAAAAAAACATCAGTGCATAAACATCTACAACCACAAAGTATGGTCTTCTACTATTCTCCTACAGCATAATCCATGAAATATACTATAGGCTTATGTATAATTGAACCACGGGGGCTGGACTTTCTAAACATCTTTTGCAATAGTAGTCCGAGACTACTTTGAAGAAAGAGCCAAAGAAGCCAAGGTTGAAGCCATAGACAAGAACTATGTCAAAGATGAAAGTTGATTTGAGCTGGGAATAGAGTATTTATAGCCATTGAATGGGCTCGAAAAAGACTGAGAAAAGATTGCTTTTCTTGCAGCTCTGCGAGGCTGTTTCGTTTGAAATGCTGGCAGATTGCTGAAATTAACTGGATACAGATTTTTCGACTAGCCCCCCTTTTTTCTTTCATGAGAATCCATTTTTTAAATTAAAGGAGCGTCGATATACAAATGGCGCTATATATTAGAAAACAAGGAAATGTTGATTGTAGGATCTTTTATAACCTACATTTTCTACATCTAATTACGTTATACCAGAACGATCGAAAAAGAAAAATAAAACAAATCAAAAGAAAGAAAAAGTATAGGATTTGGGAGAGCAATTGCTGAAAAGAGAAAAGAGAAGAAAAAATAGGAGAAGGAAAGAGTTTGGGGTTTTATCTAAACCTAAAATACCTTATTTTGCTTGTTTACAGATTTGAGCTCGTGTCTCTAGGTAATTGAAACATAAACTACAAATATTTTAAAATTTTCGATTTTTCTCATTTTTCATATTCTATGTTTTCATTGAAAACAATAAAAACATTTTTTTTTTTTTCAAATTTTGGCATGTTTTCATTTTCATTTCTTAAAAAATATTTTTTATTTTTTCAACCAAACACTAAAAGATGCGAACACTACCTAACTCTCTTGCCCCTTTCACACACATAAAAGATGCAAAATGCTTGAAAAGAAGTCTCATCAACTTCTGTGGCATCACAAGCGTCTGTCGGAAATAAGTGAGATGGTCAGTCACCAGTCTCTTCTCAATAGTAAAGCCAAGTAAATCATGCATAACAGCAACTGCCCTCTTATAAAATTCCAACGAAGCCGCTTTCAGCTCCCTAGCATCAGCATATGGAGACAAATAAGACCTTTTCTGAAAATGCTCGATCTTCCCTCCGTCTCTATACACCGTCTTGTAATTAGAAGGGAACTTCATAGGAATAGACAAAGAAAGTAAACCCGGTTCACGTCCAATCCCATCATTCAAGAGGATGAATTCTTGTGTTCTTGCTTCAGTCTTGGACTTGTCTACTGGATGTCATTGGTCTGATTTGAAACCACCCAAACAAGGGTTGTTGGAACCAGTGTCTTCTAAACAGACCAAAAAACCAAACATTTGTTGGCGATTTGAATGTCGCAGCTGGGTTTTACTTTTGATGGATTTATTTGACAAAACATATATATATATATATTTTTTTGGTTTGATAAAGGGGGCATAGCCTTACAACAAAGAGAAGGGGGGAGGCTGAGGTCAAACTCAGTCTTGGTGTCTTCTTAAGGCTTGCTTGGCCACCAGGTCAAGCAGCTTAAGGCGACAAAACATATTTTACAACAAAGTGGGTAGCCATTGCTTAAGCTTTATTGCTTTTTCATGATTTGTAGTGTAATATTAGTCTTGGATGTTCGGCCCACAAAATCAGGTTTTATTCCATTATTGATTTATTATCGATATATGTTTTTAAAATTTTAATTTGCATTTAACCTTCCAATTTTTATCTATTTAAATATTACATGCTTAAATCAATTTTAAAAATCTATCCTGCATAGCATATATATCATCTAAATTAATTTCAAACAAGGCAATTTGTCACAAAATGAAAAATCAAGAAGCATCAATGATGATATTTCAAGATGTATTTCGATGTTTAAATTAATAATGTATACAAAGGAGAATGAAGAGAGAGAAAATAAGTATTATTTTAGAAAATAAAAAAAGTAAAATTGTGAATTTATTATCGATTTAGTCTGATTTTACCTTTTATACTCTATAAATGATGATATGATTGATTAATTTGTCAGATGTTGAAGCCTACTAAAACGACTATCAAAGTTATTAAGGACATGATTATTAAAATTTAAAAAAAAAAAGAAAAAATAATGATAATTTATGTAAATGATATAAATTTGAAAGTAAATATTTGCTTGCTTATTTTAATTATATTTTTGAATGCTGTCTTTTTTTTACTGTTTAACATTTCCCTTCTCACTTTCAGTAGTATGGCTTGCAATTTAGCCGAAAATCTGAGTTGTGAAGTAGTTGGACGGCGCATGCAGCTAAGCTAAGCCAGGCAGGCACCCAAAGATGACTTGCTTTTCGACATGTTTTGACCGAGGAAACACCAGCTGTTGCCCATATGGGAACTTTGCCCAAAGATTACCAGTCTCACTTGCCAAACGCGTAATAAAATTCTGTAACTCATCACTTATCTTCTTCTACCTTCGAATTTTGGAAAAATCGTTTTTTTCTTCGTTTATATACATAGATTTCTTTCGGGTTGAAAGAAGAACTACATTCCCTTTCACATTAGTCAAATTGGCTGGCTCAACTCTGGTCAACCAATAGGCATCCAAAAAACCAACTATTGATCACTTTTTATAAGTAAATAAAATCTTTCCTTTGGTAAATATTTGCTTCAAAAGCATTGCATGCTCTTGATACTATGATGATTTTTCACGTATTCATATTAAATTAGTCTCTTTTTTTTTTGTTATGATTATAGTTTGAATTTGAAAACTTCGATTCTGAAATTGATTTTTATTCATTGAGCTAAAGTTCATTGATAAACTAGTAATACTGTTTGTGACGAGATGGATGATTAGATTTATTTAAATCTAGAGGAATCCTGAGATTGGGACCAATGGGTCAAATGGGTATTTATCAAAATTAATCAACAATGAAAATATAATGAAACATCTTTGTTATAATAAGTTAAAACATATCTACTACTACAATACAAATAAAGATAGGGACGTAAACTTTGAATTCCAGACGAGTGAGACATTACTACCACGAACTTTCTCAACGAAATCAAAGGGCGCACCGCACATGCATCATTTGAGTCGTGCTTTGTCGGGGCAAAAAGGTATTAAGGGTGGGTTGACAATTCCAGGTGGTTAACCAATTTTGTAATCTGCCCATGATAACTTCAGTTGGGTCTCCCGTCATCATCTTCTGGTCCCACTTATATCTTCTAGACTGGCTTTTGAGTTTTGAGACCTGCTTGTCTTCATGCTTCCCACACGCTTTATGCTTTAGTTCTTTTTGTACTAACATGCACGTGTGAACGTACGTGATTGAATTAAAAGAGATATTAGACTTCGAATCATCTCAAGAATTTTCATCGTACTAGCTGACCCAAAAAGAAAAAAACATAAAACGTTTAAGACTTTGATTCCATCACTTACCTACAAAACGATAATTTTTCATGCAAAGTCCAGCCCTTTGGCCTTCGACTTTGGGCAGTCTTTGAATCAATTTTTAGAGAAAGCAATTAGAGTGCGTCTTCTACGCGACAAAGTTAGACTGCAAATAGCAACCTAAGCAAATCAGTTACGTGAGGAGGAAACCTCCCAGTGACCTTCCTTTTCATACTTCTCTTTTTTTTTTTTTTTAAGAACAAAATTTAAGAGTAGTTGACCAACCTATGAAAAATTTACAGATCTTTTAAAACTTTTTGAATTTACATATTATTTATCAATAAAAAATCGTAAAAGTTTAAATTTAAATATTTTACATCAAGTTAATAAATCTTAATCATTTGCATTAATTTTTATCGATACCTTTTCATATTTTTTTACTCTCTCGCAGATTTTAAAATTATTTAATTTTTTAATAATATTAAATTTTATATATTGAGAGTTTATTAAATATAAATTTTTAAATTATTATTAAATAAATAAATAAATGACCAAACTAAGAAAAATAAAACCAACAAAAATTCATTAAATCCCCCAAATATTTGCACATTCTTTTCGTCGCCTACGGTCTTTACCGCGTTTCTATCCGCTGTCTTTACTCCTCTTCAACACGCTTAGATCTTTCCACAGAACACACTGTGATCAAACTTCTCTTCAGTCTTCGCCCTCGCTCCCCGCCCTATATATCTACTCTCAAAGAGGCGCCATTTTCATTTTCCGAAGCTAGCTCAGCCTGAAGAGTGAAAAGCTTTCTAGTCACAATCTCAAGGAGTTTTTCGACAAAGTAATACAATTTCTTCGATTAATAATGAAGCCCACCTGCACACAATCTCCAACATCACCTACGGAACATGCCTTGGACACAAGTAGTAGTTCCAAGTACAAGGGTGTAAGAAAGAGGAAATGGGGGAAATGGGTGGCCGAAATTCGACTTCCCAACTGCCGTGAGCGTATTTGGTTAGGGTCTTACGACTCGGCGGAGAAAGCAGCCAGGGCGTTTGATGCGGCTCTTTATTGTTTACGTGGCCCTGATGCTAAATTCAATTTCCCTGAAAATCCACCAGAAATAGTTGGAGGGAGGTCGCTTAGCCCGCAAGAAATTCAAGTGGTAGCTGCTAGGTTTGCTAACGAGTTGAAGGAAGAAACTGGTAGGACTCCAGGGAATAATAACAATAATGATACTACTAATAATAGTTCAAATAACAACAATGTGGCGACGGAACAGTACACATCGTCTTCATCGATGCCAGTGTCGGGTGAGGGAGCGGCAACACAAGTGGAGAGCGATGAAATGATAGATTGGTCGTCGTTTTTTAGCATATCGGATACCAACCAAGGGATGTCCGATTATGGCTTTTATGCAGGGCTGGATCACTTGCCTGATGACCAACTCTTTCCTCCACCAATAGCTCCCTCGCCCATTGATGACAACGTGGATGATGATGAAAACTGTGGCGACGATTTTTCACAGTCATCGTTTCTTTGGAACTTCTAAGCCAAATATACCTCAAGCATCAGAGTACTTAAAAAATATAATAGTCCTTTTTCTTTTTGGTCATTCTTTTCTCAGATATACAAGTAGTTGGATAATCAGGAGTTTGGCGAATTTTAGCTGCCAGGCTCGCTGATTTTTTTCGCAGCTACGGGGCTGAGAGTTGAATATTGAATTCGTTAGGGTCAAACGGTCCAGGCTTTTTTGGGCTGTCTTCCTGTGTAGTAATAATGTATACTCCTATATACGGAAATTACCATTCATTTTTCTTGGTGGGATACAGTCTCAACAATTGTAATTCAAATTCAAATAAATAAATAACATGAAGGGAGGATCCTTTTTCTTTTTTTTTACAAAAAATAAATAAATGCAATTGTCATTGCTTCCTTGCTGCTATTCAGATACAAGAAAAAGCAAATACCTCAATTAAGGTAGGGTCCGAGATTTGATTCTGTTTCCTCTTGATCTTGAAATTAAAAGAAAAAAGTCTCTTCGGGGGAAATTAAGGTGGATCTGATTTGGCATTAATGAATTTTCAGGCCGCTATGATATGGCATTTGGAATTGCAACTCCCTTTCCTTTTCTTTTCCAGTGCAAGACAGCTGCCCGTTGCCGCCAATCTTCGGTTTTGCTAACTAAATTCAACTCGAACTTGAAATGAAATTTGACTAGCTAGCCCTAGCCAGATGATTACATGAAGAATTGTAGTAATATCATGATAAATGAGGTCTATCATTTTTCGTATGGTCTGAGGTCACTCTAATTGGGAAATACTTCTGAAAAAAAGTAATATCATGCAATACCCTTCAAGTAAAGTGCTTTCTAACACTGGACAATTTCTTTCAAGATTCACATATAATTTAAAAGGTATTATTCATTTTAATTTGAAAGTTTCACGATTTTATCTTATTAAATATGTCTCATAATTTTAAGTTTAATCATCAACTTATATATTATATCAAATCTACATAATATATTAATATAGGATTGAGATGTCACAAACTCTCCTAATAAAATTTGACATCCCTGTCAAACTTATCATAAAGTAAATACAAAATCATAAAATTAAGATCATACCAGACATTAATATTCTAGAGTTGACTCACACTGTATAGCACTTAACTTTATTAGGATTCTAGAGATGACTTTCATAGTGTAGCACTTAGCTTCCATTCAACTGATAATCGTTCTGATATCATTTGTGAAAATACGTATCTAATATGTGAGATATTATTCATTTTAACCCTAAAGTATAAAAGGCTCCCATTGTGTAACATTTAACTTCACTAGGATTCTAAAGATGACTTTCACGGTGTAGCACTTATTTTTCATTTCATTGATAACCGTTTCGATACCATTTGTGAAAATTCATACCTAATTTATGAGATATTATCCGCTTTAACTCGAAAATCTTACAATTTTATCCTACAAAAAATGCCTCATAAGGTTTGATTTTAAATCTCAACTTATATATCATAGCAAATCTTTAAAACAATCCAATATGAAATTAGAGTGTTACAAACTCTTCCATTAAATCTTGACATCCTTGTCAAGCCCAGCACACACAAAATCACAGAATTAGAATCACATCAAACATTGAAATTCTAAATATGGCTCCTATGATGTAGTATTTAGCTCCTTTGAAATTTTAGAAGTAGCTTTCACAATATAACACTTAGCTCCTATCCAACTAATAATAGTTTTGATATCATTTATAGAGACTTACACCCAACCTATGAAATATTCTACTATTTGACTTGAAAGTCTTACAATTTTATCTCACAAAGGATGTCTAATAAGTTTTTAGTTTAAATTTTTACTTATATATCATAGTAGATTCTCAAAACATTTCGATATAGGATTAAAATGTCACAAACTCTCCATTTAAAACTTGATGTCCTCGTCAAACCTAGTACAAAACACACAGAATCACAAAACTTTTAATGTCTCCATCAAGCTTAGCATAAAACACACATAGAACCACAAAATTGTATACACAAAACCACAAAACCAATATCACACCAAAATTAAAATTTTAAAGGTGACTTCTACTATATAACATTTAGCTCTTTCAGGATTTCAGAGATAACTCTCACAGTATAACATTTAACTTCTATCCAATTGGTAACTATTTTGATATCATTTGTAAAGATCTGTATCCAACCTATGAGATATTATCTGTTTTAATATAAAAATCTTACAATTTTATCTCACAAAAATACCTCACAAATTTTAATTTAAACTTCAACTTATATATTATAACAAATACTCCTAAAGTTCGTCGGGATATCACAGTCTGCTATTAACCCTCGCTATAAACTAGATGAGAAGCTCTGGACACTGGTCGGCCAATGAAGAACAGTCGTATTGAGCCATCACACTTGTGATTTAAAAAAAAAAAGTACCATTACGGACAACGGATATCTTAAAACTATTAGACGATTTTGACCGAGCTTTTTGCTTCACGCGGTATAGAGGGAACTGCAAGGACGGCCCAATATTTAGTGGACCCATAATGTCCCATGTTTCTTAAATGAGACCCAAAGGGCAGAGAAAGAAGTATTCATTATCGTTCAACGGTAGAAGAAAGTCGAGAAACTGGTCGACGAGTTGTTGCAAAATTACAGCATTTGGTAAGAATTTCAATTCATGTTCTTCGATTCCATTAACTTGAATTTTCCTCTTCAAAACGTTATTTGTTTCATCTGAAAGATTGGCAAAATGAGTGCTTTTCCGATTATGTTTCCCTTGAAGGAACGTCACCGACCCATGACAACTTAGTAGGAATTTGATAAGGTACTCAAAGTCCGCGTTCCGTCGCCAGTTGAGATTGAGCTCAGAAAAGGAACTTCAAAAAATTCAGCTTGAACCCTGCAATAGTCCTGTTATGACTTCTTGACAGCATTAAGCAAATTTTTGGCACAAGAGTCTCTTCATGAATCCGCACTATCATGTAATTCAAATCTATCAGTTACATCTGAGAATTAACCCCAAAAAAGGGAATTTAACAAAGTAAAAATTAAGATACAGAATTAACAAAACGGGGAAAAGAAGTTGCTGGCTGGTGTCAGCCTGATGCTACCAAAATGCAATTGCTGCTGTAATCTGGCTAAACATTAATGATACAGTTCTGCTTCCTTGTTTTTTCAACCCCTTTTTCGATTTTTTCCTTTTTTTTCAGACTTCAACTACATTCTCTTCCATTTCCTCCCATGTACAGATACAAGAATGACGGTGGTGACTAAGACTTGACAGGTTTTTCTGTGCTGTCAAAAAACTCCTATACCTCAACGCTGTCAAAGTCCATGGCTTCAATATATCACAACTCGAAGTAACCCTGGCTGTGGTTCCGTATACTCAAGGCACTCTTCTTCAAGGAGATAACGCTGTACAGCAACTGGAAGTCTTGCTGGAGTACGAGAACCCCTAGTATGGTGGCCAGTTCCAACACATATGTAAACCTGCAGTCGCTGATCCGCTGCCCGTGCTGTGCTCCTCAGAACTGATAGTTCGTGCTTCAGCATATGAATGGCTTCACTAACATGCAATCCATGCAGGTCTATCATTCGTTCCTGCCCTCTGACATTCTCCAGAGGAACTGCGTTCCTATATTATTTTATATCATACACGGTAAAACAGAACAAACTAGTATTAAGCCAAACAAAATAATATAACAGGAATTTAGATTACTGAAATAAGATTGATTACCAGGATTGATTAGCAGGATTTTATTTTTTTGGTCAAGAACGATTACCAGGATTCACAACAGACAAACTCAGGTATATAGTTAATGAGAGATGAGTATAAAAGATGGACAAGTTAATGGATAGATATAGGAGAAGGGGTGGGGTGGGTGGGGTGGGGTGGGGTGGGGGTGGGGTGGAAGGAAGTGCGAATAGGAACCAATTATACTTAAAGCAGCAGGGATGAATATTACCCCCCACAGATGTCAGCAAACCAATTTCTTATTCTCCATCACAAAAAACATCTTACCACCCCATTGCTAAACAAATGTTAAAACTTAAAAGCAATAACAATAATAGCAACAGAAAAATGGACCGAAGCCTGTTAACCACCATGTTAAGGGACCAAGTGCAACAGGAAAGAAATGACAAACCTCTGGCGATATATAGATTCTTGAGCTTTTCCATGAGCTGCCTTCATATGCATATTGTGCAGTTGTCCTTTCACACTAAGTTCCTTTGCCAGAGCTTTATTACCAATGACAAATGCTTGTTGTGCCTATTTTGATTATATAAAAAGTAGTATCACTTAACCATAAGAATAAGTTGTGCACGCTAAGTTCAGAGGGGAAGAGAGAAAGGGATATTAGCGAAGACAGATGAGTATAGACTAGACTTCACATGCAAGATTATGCACAGCAGTCACTCTTTAGAAATTTGCCTTGTACCTGTGCAATAGTCGATGCACTCTGTACTAGAATAATAGCACCAACTTTCGAAAGCAAGGGCTATTAATCAAATACATGCTCATTCAGGATATTTAAACAGATAGGTGACCAATACTTTATTGGTATATACATTACAAATGTCACTGGACTTGTTTACTTCCCAACTTAATTAAGTCCAATAGCTTCAGCATTAAATACTGTGAAGCTTACCATCAGAGAGTAATGGGGGACTACTAATGGTGTTCATATTCTATTAATCATTATATTTGATTGCATAACTAGCTGAGCTAATTGATGCCTAATGTAACTTAGCAGACAACTGTAAAGTTACAGAAAAAGGTAGTAGTGGAAGCAGATGCAAATATTGAACTGTTATACAAGAAAGGATTCATCACCCAGGGTTGATACTGCAAAAGGGGAAGAAATAAACACAAAAATGAAAGGAAAGAAATGGTTGAGCAATTAGGCTGAAACATGGTTAAACAACTCATTTCATCACTTGCTAACAAAATGTCAAACCTATAAGTATATCAGTTTAAACATGTACAACAAATTTCCAAGGAGATACCTGTTCAAAATATGCATTACGTAAACGTGCATGGTCTCGAGCTTCTTCCCGCAGCTCAGAGTACAAATTTGCTGCCAGCTCAATAATGTTAAAGCAAATAGATATGCACAAAGGCGTAGATCACTTCTATTAAAAGCTATACAAATGCATGACTTCATTAAGTGCAGAATATTACCCACTGCATCTCCAGTTTCAAGCCAAACAGGAGCTGAACCACGAGTCTGCACCCTATTAGCATAAAGCCCTCTCCCAGTTGCAGCACTGTAGGTATTAGCTGACCCAAGAGAACTTCTACTTGAACCAACGGTTGAATCAGCAGAACCATTTCTATCATACTTCCACATTCCAGAATCTTGAGATGACATTTTCCTGACAGCTGAGGCAAAATCTATGGCACCTCTAGATGGAAGGGAAGAACTGGATTTGAACATAAGCAAATTGTCCTTGTCAGAAGATTGATAAAGATTGGCACCATGCTGAAGATCATCTCCTGCATATTTTGGAGGACCAATCTGACCATCTGACACAGCAAGTGCAGGAAACTCTAGTGCACTCAGATTGGGAGCTGACAAGGTCTTTGAGTTCAGGTTCTGGTTGAAACCACCATCAACTTGAAGCTGCAATAAGAATCAAAATGACCCATGGAATGGAAAAAGATTTAAGACAATTAAGATGGACAAACAGACAACAAAAACGCCTAAAACTTTTGAGGATGCTGGAAACCTGTGAACCAAAAAGCACATAACAAAAACCTAAGAAGATATAACTTAAAAAAAAGGGGAGAAATTTCAATAAAGAAAAAACTACCCCTGTACCAGGCCGCAGGATATCATGAACTAGAGGCTACATACAAGATTATGGTTGAATTGAGTCACCTCAAAACTTTATGAGGAGCCAGCCTTTCCCTATCAAACCACAGCTAGCATCCAAACCATTAACATCCATTGCTTTCACAGCAGATTCCCAACATCCCAGGCATACAACATAAGAAGAAAAAATAAACAATTCCAGTTTAAAAATTAAGGAACATCAAAAGCTAAAGAAAAATATTTGCATCCTGATTTCAAGCATAAACCATTACTCTAATAGTTCTGAAACTTTATAGCAATTGATAATCAGAAAATAAAAAATAAAAAAACTTGAAGACGCAAACAACTGATGCGTCACTTAATTTTTTATAAAGGATAAATGAAAGCACTTGAAACTTGACCAACTAAAAACAATTGAGCACAACTCACCTCAAGCTGAGTGAGCATCTCGATTGTTAGATTTAAATCACAACCATTGGCAAAATAAACTTCAGTAAGGCTTTCGGCAGCAAATCCAGGGAATTGAGAAGCCAAAAAATCCACAGGATTCAATTCAGTATCATCCATAATTGTGTGCTCACCCAGCATATCATTGACAAATCCACGTCCTGAATTTCCATTATATGGATGTCCCTCCCTCCCATTGCCAAGTAGCTGGTCACTGTTAACAAGTTGTCCGTCCCATGTTTTGGCTGGCAAATGCAAAAAACTGGCTGAAGTAGGATCCTCTCCATAGGATGAAGCAGGATATCTCAATTTTTCAGCTAAGTTATTACCAATACCATAATGATGCAGTAGTTCCTGCTGATCACCAAACACATATCCACCACCAGCAGAAGCAGGAAACCTTGAAGCTTCGCTACCATCATGCAAGGACAAGCCTGCTAAAGAGAGGCTCACAGACCCAATTCCTTGAGAATCATCATCATTAATAACCTTAAAGTCCGGGGTAATGTCATCAGGGAGTTGATGACGCCAGAACTGATGAGCCTCTTCATCAGAATTATTTGAAATGGAAGACCCCGACCGACCAAGCACTGCTTTTCCTATGGTCCCAGAAGTAGCACACCTTGCTGTTGCATCAGCTGCACTAGTGCTTCCTGATGCAGATGGTGACCTAAGAGAAAAGGGAACGAACTCTGCTGCATTAGGGTTCAAAGTTGTTACCTTGCTAGGGGTATTTAGTTTTGTGTCACTAATTTGGGTCCCTTTCTTCGATAAGCTCATTCTTTACTTAAATGAAAAAAAGATTCTACATAGATAAGGGAAAATAGGAACTTGGTGCACAGGATAAACCCTTGAGTTCCACTAAACCCTAACCAAAACCTGCAAAACCGTCCAGCGTACCACATTACTAATAAGTCAAACTTACGAAAGAATCTTAAACTGAAGACAAACACACATGCATAAAACCAACCCTTAACAAAATCAAGAATGAGATTAATACCCAAAATACCACAAAATCTCAACAGCACTCTTTATAGAAACTTTCACAATAATCATTTCCATCAAATTAATAATGATGACAAATCATGCTGACTACAAAGAAGAAAATAGAAACACTAAAAACCATATTTGACTCTTATGAATGCAAATCCATTGCTTTACATGAAAAAAAACATAATACTATTATTATTTAATAACTTAATAGCAACTACAGCTAACCATTTTTTACAAACAATGTCAAAACAAGCTTAATCCAAGATTATGAGTCAAATAACAAAATTTTCATAATCAAATGCATTAAATATACCAAAATTAAGCCAAAATACAGTTCAAAACCCTAGAATTCACTTATCAACAAGACTTAAACCTGAAGAGAAAGGGAAAGCACATCATCCTCAAGTAATAATTAAACAGCAAGCTCATTTAATTAAAAACCCTAATCACAAAAATAAAATAAAATAACTGAAATTTCCAAAAACAAAATAAACAAAAGTTCTACTTAAACAAATAATTAGAACGAAAAGCAAGCATAAACCAAAGCTATGATCTTGCATTATCCAAGCAGCTAATAATCAGCAATCTCAAGTCAATTCAACACCAAAAAAATAATAATAATAACAATAATAAGAAAAGGAAAATTTTGAAAAAACAACTACAGAACGAAGAAAAAAAAGTTAAAAATCGAAAGATCTAAGGAGAAACTTATACCTTTGCGAAACAAATCGAAAGGATCCATAGCTAAAGAGATCAAACAAGAGGTTAAAAGAGAAGAAAACCAATAAAAAAATAAACTTAGAAAGATTTTTATTAAAATTATTGGGATTTGAGCCTTGGATTTTGTTTCTCCTTGGCTGCAGTGTATTATCTAAGCTTTTTGTTTCACATCACAGGTTTCTCCGCATCTTTTCTCCCTATCTCCTTCTCTCTTTTTTTTTTTTTTTATCTGTTTTTGTTTGAAAATTGCTGTAGCTAATAGCACTGCCACCACCCCCACCCCCACCACCACAAAAATTATAAACAACACATCCAAGCCTTTCCCCACTCGATTTGACCTCTTTTCTTTTCTTTTTTTTTTTTTCTTTTATTCTCTCTCTTTCTATTTGACCCCCATTTCTAACAACTATTTAATTAATAATATAATTTAATAATAAAATAAAAGTAAATAATTAATCATTTTAGATTTGAGTATGGCCATTTGGGTAGACATTACTATAGTAAAAATTTAAAAATCATACGAAAAAATTGAATTGCATTAATTGATTTCATTTGGGTTTGATATTCAAATATACCATCAAATTTTAATAATAATTACAATTAAATCCCTGATCTTTTATTGCGTTAAATAAAATTTTAATTTATTTATTTATAATTATAATCATTAGTTTTTAAAATCAATTAAAAAAAATCCAATTGCAACAATTTTTAAATTGTTTTATAACTTAAGTTATTCTATCAAAAATTCTAATTAAAATAACAGAAGACAAATTATGATTTGTCACGTGTTTATCAACAATTTCTTTAAATTTTTATTGAATATTAAAATTTTATAATTATAAATATAGATAAATAAAAATTATAATTTTATTTGCATATAACAAAAAAGTCATAAACTTATTTAAAATTTTTCTAAAATTCAATAATATATTTGAGTATTAAATCTTTTTTTTTTTTTTTACGTTACTAACTTGTGATGAACTAAAAATAAATTTTCATGCTCATACGATTATTTCACATTTTGATATGTAATTTTTAAAAACTTTTTAAAATATCATTAAAAAAAAAAAAGAAAAGTTTTTCAAAATTGAGTTTACATCACTTACTTTTGTATGAAAGTATTGGCATTAGAAACAGTGTCATGCTTTGTCCAAAAAAGAGGGTGAACAATTACCTATTAATTATGCCATGCCCCTTTGTAGAAACTAGAAAGTGACTTTGGCCTGAGAAATACAAAAACAAAACGAACAACTGTGAAATTGGATTAATTTGAATAGTCAGATAATTTAAGACAAAACCTTTTAATTTTTCAATTAGTATAAAATAATATAATATATTTTATTATAAAATAAAAAATTTTATAAGTTTAGTGAATGCAATCAAATCAAATCAAACAAAATTATTATTATTATTATACACAACACTTAATTAATCCGGTTTTATTTTTTTTTATAAAATTAGAAAAATTTAAAATTAAATTTAAAATTTTTGAGTTTTTTTTTAAACATATTTTTAAAATTTTTAATTCAATATTCTATTTAAAAAATAAAAAAAAATTTTGTTTGTTTAACAAAAAATTCAAAAAATAATAAATAAAATGACACAGAGTGAGCAATATATATATATATATATATATATATATATTCTTTTTAATTTTAACAAGCATATCAATAGGTATCAATTAACTTATATTTTTAATAAATAAATATTTAAATCAAAATCATAGGTAATTAATGAACACTTAGAACAGTTATATGTAGCATTATTTATTACAATTGTTGGTTGATAGCTACAAATTTCTATGACAAAGGAGAACTCTAGGACTATGTCTATCTAAGGTAAACATTACTTTTTAAAAAAATTTGGGTCAATTCTCCGTAAATTGTTAATCTTCATTAGTTAGCAGCCTTTTAAGATTCAAACAACTTATGATTATGGAGTTGAAGAATAAATACATCCTTTGATTAGATTTAAAGCATTTTCCTTACCAAACAGTCAAAGATACCACAACAAATCTTTGCATCATTCCTCTCAAATTGTTAACTGAGTAACACATAAATTTGAATTCAAAATTCAGTTAAATTTTTAATACAATCATTTTTAAAAATTACATTGATTAGAGAAATTTTAAATTTTATGAATGAAATTAAAAATTTATTATAGACATTAAAATATAGTTAAAATTTTAATAAATTAATAAAATAAAAATATACTAATAATGCTTTAAATTTGTATCTAAAATTTCTTTTTGTTAATTATGAAAAAAAAAACTCTCTTAAAAACCAAAACATGCGTTATTAAGCAATTAACTGATTAAACAATCACATATTAGTAGACGACATGCATTGATGACAGGTCGTGGGAAAGGCAAAATATGGTAACAAGAGACATCTTTAAGGGGAATTTGTTTCACGGGATTTTAAATTTCAAGAGAAAAAATGATTTAGGAGATAAGTGATATTGAAATAAAATGTATAGTTTTTAAGTTTTGGTGATTTAAGAAATGAAAATTTTTTATATTTAGTTAATAAGAATGTAAAATTATATAATAAATTTTTTTATTATATTATTTTTAATTAACACGTGAATAACACATCACATTCATAATATTAATATGTGAATAATACATTATTTTCATTGAAACTAAATAATTTTGAAAAATAAATTTTTATATTTTCAACAAATATACAAATTTTATGTGTAATAATATTAAGTAAATATATTTTAGATTTTATATGTAATACTATTAAATAAAAAAAAATTTTTTATATATTTTCAACAAATATTACATTTTTTATTTTAGAAAATTCGTGTTTTCAATAAAAATTATGTTTTTATCTTCGTCTTTGTTGAATTTTAAAAACTATATTTTTTATATTTTAACAAACATTACATTTTTACTTAAAAACGTAACATCATATTTTCAACAAAAATTACGTTTTTATCTTATAAATATTATATTTTTAATAAACACTATGTTTTTATCTTAAAAACGTCATCTTTTCAATAAAAATTATGTTTTTATATTAGACATCTTTTCAACAAAGATTTTGTTTTTTTTTTCTTAAAAGCCTCATATTTGTTAAATTCTGAAAAATATTTTTTTTTCATATTTAAAAAAAATCGTATTTTTTATTTTAAAAACATTATCTTTGTTGAATTATGAAAAATAAACTTTTCATCTTTCAATGAAAATTGTATTTTTAATCATAATTTTTATAAGGAATTCAATAGCACTATGTTAAAAACATGATTTTTGTTTAAAATATATTAAGAAAAATTTATTTTCATAATATTTTATAAAAAGTTATTGCATTTCTAAAGTAAATCAAGTTATTTATATAATCTGAAAATACAATTAAGTGAGGGTAAATGTGAAAAAATTTTCTCTTTTCCTTTGAAATCTTAAAAAATTTTAAAGAGACGAGAGTTTTTATTTTCCTACTTTCCCACTTCTTAATACTATTGAGAATATTAAAACCCCCATTAATCACATTCTCATTAATCAAATCAAAAAATCAAATTACAAAATATAAAATTTCAAAAGGGAAAATTACTTTCCCTCGAACCAAACACCCTCTAAAATAGTCAAGAGCATGAATTGCACAATTTGTAAGATAGACAAATATCTGAACAGTTGGTGGGTCTAGTCTAATAGAGCCAGCACTTTAACACTACAATCTCCATATTCACAAATCATTGCAACATAAAACATTAACAAATCAAATTTCTCTACATGTAATTACTATTATCTGATTTAATGAGAATGCAAGTTATGATAAGGTGGGGGAATAATGGAAAATTATGAGAAATGATCGGCAGAGTAAAAAAAAAAAGTGACATAAAGAGCAATTACAGTGGCTTCACAGGGCAATGATCCTATTTATATATAAAAAACTTTTTCACAATTTCTTTATAGAAATCAATCAAAGGCATTTAACGGAGAGAAAAGCGCAAAAAATCTCTTTGTATTAAGGCAATTGAGATCCGTAATTGTTTATTTTTGCTTTAAATTTTGCTCTTAATTTAACAAACACGTAAAAATAAAGAAAGAAAGAGAGACAGAGAAAGCCAAATTGGGCTCACGCACAAAAATAATTATATATAAAATTTTAATTATAATATAATTAGTAAATTTATATAAGAATAAAATTTTTTTAAAATATATATATATATATACAAATATACATTTTTTATTTTAAATGGCATACATACTCTTGACATGATTTTTTTTTCAAAATTTATAACCTATCTAAAATAAATAAGTTCGTAAGAAATGCATAAAAATATAATTTTTTAAAATTTTATACAAATTTTCAAATATAGATAATATATAATTATTTGATGAAAAAAACTAATAAATTGATATGAAATGAAACAGAATAGAATATAAAAAGGTAAAATAGTAATAAACACTTATGATTGATTAGGTAAAAATTGTAAAAGTTACGAAAAATATATTTTGAGTTAATTTAAGAACCCAACATTTATAATCTAAATAATGGACAAAGTGATAAAGAAATTGAATAATAAAATTTAATGAGATATGACGGCAAAGGAAAAAAAAATATTTTGAATTAAATCAAAATTTTGAATTTGGTTTAGAAAGAAATTGATATTTAAAAAAGTTAAGAATAATATTTTCACTAAATTACCATGATTTTAAGAGAAATTAATTTTATCTACACATTTAATATTTTTAAAAAATAAAAACAGTTAACAAAGACAAGAACAATAACTATTTAAAAGAAATTTAATATATTTAATTTAGTCAAAAATGAATCACACCAATTTGCATTTGACAATAGATTTCTATACAATTATACGGATTAAAATATAAAAATTAGAACAAATATGATATTATTAAAATTAAAAAAGAGATAATAATAATAAAAAGTTTTAGTTATATTGGGTTGTACAATTATATGCATTGATTTGAATTCAAGAGATAAAAAAATATTAAAAAAATATTATTGTATTTCTCTTGCATGCATCTTCCTAAAAGGATGATTACAATGATAATTCGATATAATAGTATAACATAAAATCATCATTATCTAAAATAAAACACAATGTTGTAAATTGAACTTATAAAACAAAATGAAAAAAAAATATAATTAAATGTAAAAGAAAATATAACATCTCATTTGTAACACAAAAATTATTAAAAAAATCAATCAAACAAATTTGACTAATGACCTAAGTTTGACAAAAATACCATATTTACATCATCCTTGGTAATTTTTCTATAGTTGTTGATAGGGTTATAAACAAA